GATGTGTTGCCAGGTTAGCCAGGGTTACAACCTGAGCGTGCTGGTTTAGCCTTTCCTAAGGCCATCGTGGAAAATTTAGTTTTGTACTTGGAGTGCCTTTTTGCTGGTTTTGCATAATTTGCTTCCAGAGTGGATTAAACTGAACTGCACAAAGGCGTTCTCGGTGCGGATTATTCTTGGCGCGGAGACTTAAAGCTCAGTGGTCCTTCCGGGCTGCTCGCCTGAAGGAACAAGAGCTCAGGGAAGTTGAACTGACTTAACTAAAGCAGGAGAGTTAATAAGTATTATGTCCTCTGTGGATCTTTACTTTCAGAGGGTGGGTGATCTTTAGACAATAATCCCTTCACAGCATAAGGTCATTTTATTTCTGCGCAGAGTTGTCCTCACAGAGGATTAATAGGCTTGCGTGCATGTTTCAAGTAGGTTCTTACAATTAGGCTTGCCTTTGTAGTCTTGCTGGTTTGGAAAACTTTTCCAAGTGTCAGCAAACCGTAGCTTTTTGCAAGACAAGGACCTTTGTCCCATTTGTTGGAGGTCCCCAAAGGCTCAGAAACACAGGCTGATTGTTTAAGAGCCGTCTTATGAAGCAGAATCTCTATTTGTAGGAGAAATCATGTATTTGAAAGTTGGCCTTAATTGATTTAAAGAAGTGAAATGAAGAAGAGGTAAACTGTTTGGGGATTGGGCAAAGTAAAATAGCATCCTTCAGCTTTTTTCACGCCATCAGAAGTAAGTTTTTGTCATAGAACAGGTGGAAGTAGAAGGGAAGTTTTTTTAATTTATCAGTAGCACTGAGAAGTATTAGTCAGGGGAGTGATTAGCTGCTCAAATAAAAGATGTTCAATTAAACATTCTAAGTAAACGAGAGCTTTGGAATTATTTATTTATTTAATTTTAATATAGTGTTTACCCTCGCTAATTAATATGCCAGAGAAGACTTATGTTTTGGGCATGTTTTTATGTGCTAACAAGTCGTTGGATGTTTTTGATTATCTGCTTTGGAATGATGCCCTGTGACTTTGTAAAGCCATCAGATATTTCAGTAAATCGGTTTGTTTACAAGAGACTGCTCAGAAGAATTATTCTGAATTAATGTTTTAAGATAGATTAATTAAATTGCATTAAACTTGTGTGTGGAAAAGCTAATCTGGAATTCAGGTGAATTTAATTTAGTTGCTTACAGATATTAATTTACTTAATTAAACAAAGGCTACTTTAATTCTGTGCTAAGTGTATCAATTCTGCGTAAGAGTATTGGCAGGGATATTTAGTGTACTTTATCTGATCTCCATTAAATTTATACCTTTAGTTGTCTCTGATAAGTTTTTCTGAGTGTTCTAGTACCAGAACAAGTGGTTGCAGGCTTTTTGCTCCCCCTTTTGGCTTTGTTTCTGAATATGAAAAGGCAAGAACAGGGAGGTGTTTGTGTTTACTTTCAACTCATCATACATAAATACGGAAATAAATAATATTTTTTTTTTTTAGTTTCTGTGGGTGACAAAATGGACCGTCTTACTAGAAGATTTAGTTCTGTTACTCCATAGTGATGCTTGTTCTGTCTTGGAATCTTAGGACCTTTTTTCCCAAGTTTTGAAGAAATATTGTTCCTTTGGGAGGTGAGAAGGAGTGAATGCAGTAGGTTAGCTCTGTGTGATCATTTTCCATTATTTACTGTGAGAAAAACCTGAGACAATTTTTAGTTTGTGCTGCTTTTGAGGAATGGCTGTCTGGTGGGTTTATTAGGCAGCGATTGCCACAGGAGTGTCTGGCCTGGGCAGAAGAGCTGCTCCGGGAGCTGTTACCTGCTGCAGCAGGTCTGGGGGTTACAAACATTTGAGACTGGAAGGCACCCAGGGCTGAAGTGGGAACGGAGGTGGGAGGAACTCGCTCTGATACACACATAACTTGTTCTTTGGGTACGCGTGTGGTTTTTTGCATTGGGTAAGAGTTGAGGCAGGCTCTTCCAACCCCAAAAAAGCCCCCTAGGAGAGGTGACGAGTGCAGCGTGGATCCACCGCAGGAGCTCAGCTGGAGTCGCTGCCCAAGGCCTCCGGTCCCATCCCTGGTAATGAGAGATTTTCCCTTGTCCAGTATAAGGCGTCTTCCCATATCACCCAGATAACGGCAAATGGACTATAAAACATTCCTGTGTCCATCCGGCTTCCACATGCTGGTTGGGAGAGTAAAAAGTGGGAACGTTTTATGTCCCTGTTGTAGTTTATCCTTGACTTCCTGGCTTTTTGTTATTATTTCTTAAAGCTTTAGTATTTGTTCCAGGTAGTATTTCAGCACTGGCTTCTTAATGCAATGGACATACACTTAATTTGGAGTTAATGGGAACTAGGGTTTCGGCCAGAAGAAAGAAGGAGAAAAAAAAAAAGGCTGGGAACATATACCAAATTTCAGGAAAAGAATTGTCTTATTTGAGGAAATACTGGTGAATACTTCACTGAGTAAAATATGTGGAAACTACATTGGCAAAGTTGTTCTGAATTTTGAAAGCTGATAAATGAATCTAACTCTAATCCTGTTAAATTTTATCAGGCTTTTACCCTTGGTTCTGAAAGCATGGTTAGACTACTGCTAAACTTTTCTGTTATAAATTGAAATTCCAAGCTTGGAAAAGGGACGTTTTATTCAAGTCATGATGGCTGCTGTGGTTGCAATACCCAATGTAGCTTGGACATTGCTCTCCTAATCCATGCATCTAGCATTAATGACAAATTTATTTGTTTTCCCCCTTAAGTTTCGATAAAGGAGTTCGCTGTGTCCAGTGACAGCAGCAGCGTGTACTTCATTCTGCCTCGCGAGACCGCAACAACGTGTTCTGTCGGGATGGTGGCCAGTTGCCTACAAGCTGTGTCTGACTTAGTGAAATTGCAATAAAATTTGTTTAAATGGAAATAAATACTAATGCTATGGAGGAGCATTGCTGTGTATGTGTAGTAGCTGTTCTACCAGTCGTAGTGGGGCTGTTCGAAGGTTCTTTGACAATATTTTGGTAATTCTGCTGGGTGACTGAATGCTTTCAGACTGTGACCCATAGGGGTGGAGGGTAGATGTCGTTGTTTTTTGTTTGTGTTGAAGGTTTAATTTCAGTGATTGCTTTATAATGGATTTTGGAAGACTCTGTATGTGCATGACATGAAGTATTACAGTGAATTTAAAAGCATTACAGATCCTTTGGAATGTTTTGTAAAATGGTGTATTGTAGCTGCAACTACTTTAAAGGTAACACATCAAGTATCAGTGAAATCTTGACTTGTGTGAGTAGACAAAGTTTTAAGTCTTGTTTTTGTGTGGGTTTTTTTCTAGTTTGTCCTTTTCCAGTGTCTGGAGTAGTGGATGTCATCCCTTGATGACAGGGAGGTTGAGGGCAGGGTTCTTAATATCGCTAGCAGCGTTGTCATATTATGGAACAGTAACTGTAGCACAGCTGGTTTATTATGTTCAGCCTGGCTGGTTACCAGGATTTCTCAGAAATGGCAAACGTCATTCGCCAAAATGGCATCCACACGCACTAATGCATTGCCAGCTTTTTTTGGGCGTGCTGCCACGGGCTGTGCTGGCCCAACAGCTTTTCACCACGATCAGAATTTCACATGACTCAGTATTGGCAGGGCTGGGATTTTGAGTAAACAATTCTGAGGTGTGGGGAGTCCTCCTGCTGAGATGGGCTGTCACGGCGCGCAGCCATCGCTCTCAAAGTTCTTCTGTACGTTGTGTTGCTCCCTTCAAAAATTTGAACGCCACCTGCCTGGCTTGGTGGCTTTCTCGGGCTCAAATGAAACAGGGAAGGAGGAAAATCTTTACGCGTAGCTGGATTCGATTCAGCGTTAAGTGATGAATTACCGTTTCCATTGGTAAATCTCCGATGATCTTTCTAGTGCTTTTTGCTTCAAGTTAAAAATGAAAAAAAAAGAACCAGCTGATCTCTTGTTGTCCATCCCTTTGTAAACTGCGGAAAAGCACAGGTATGAGCGGTTCCAGTGATTTTAATTCAGTTTTACAGGCTGAAGGTTTCTCTTAGAACACTAATAAATAACCTTGACAGAGAATTCCAAGGAAGCAGGCCTGAGAAATATTTTGGCTTTAATATCAGGAGCGTATCCTGAAAATGGTTTCATCAGAATTGAGCTGCAGAAAAAAACCAGGCAAGTTCAATAGCCAAGAAAAAAAAAATCATATCATATCATAGAATGGCCTAAGCTGGAAGGGAGCTTAGAGATCATTTTAATCCAGCCTCCCTGCCGCCAGGGACTCCACCTCTTGACTAGATCAGGCAACACATGGGGACCGAACGGGAATCGAACCCGCGACCTTAGCGTTGTTAGTGCTATGCTCGAAGTCAAGGTTTGCTTCAGGTCTAGATCGAAGTAGCTGCGAGGAAATTCCCTGTTCTCAAGGAATATTTGTGAAGACTTTAGAGGCTTGAAAAGGATACAAGGTGTTGTGTGTGTATGAATCTACACCCAAAGCAGTGATTGCAAATCTAACGTGTCCTGGGAGCTTCATGTGCTTTTGTGACACCGAGACTAAATACTAAAGCCTGATCTCTTCCAAGAGCTAATTAATAATTTGTAAATGAAACCCTTGCAATTTAAGAGTCAGCTTGTATGCTCTTAATTCTTCTAAAAAAAAATCAATTTGAAAGAAAGTACTTTATTTTCTATACTGATGAGCTGCCAACTCTCTGAAGCTAAATGTTCACTTTATCTGTTGGGAAAATGCAGAAAGGTGGATCAGGAAGGAAAGCTTGAGCTTTTGTCTCAGTCGTAGTATAGAAAGATTTACTCCTAGAGGTGGTGCAGGTAGTTCAGTCCTTTGCTTTCTGACTACAGAAAAAAAGTAGCAGTTGATGCTGCTGGATGATCACTTTGTAGATTGGTCAGTTCTGTTCAGAACTGCATTTTCTTTTATAGAGCAAGAATGAAAAAATAAGGCAGTATTGGTACATCAAGTGTATCTGTATTAACCCTCTCGTTGCTGCTGTTTTTCAGGATTGCATGACTTGTAAAATTACTTCTCTGGGGACCTGCAGTGGTGTTTGACTGGATATTGCTGCCTGGTTCTGAATGATGTCAGAACAGGATCTGTCGGATGTTGTTCAGATTGCTGTTGAAGACTTGACTCCAGATAACCCAGGTACGGTAGAGATGGTCGTGTTGGCATGAGAAAGTTCATTTATAGTATTGCCCATTAACCAGGTGGAAATCTCTCTTGCGCTTTTCTTAAAAAAAATCCGCAGCACAGCTTTCTATTTTTCAGAGAGGCCCTTCTAAAGACTGCATACCAGGTTTTCATAGCTTGTGTATTTTCAATACCCTTTAGATCAGGTTTTTATTTATATTACTTTTAAAAACTTTGTTTTTTGGGGCTTCTTTTGTGCAGGGGTAGACTAGTGCCGAAAACTTGGAATAAGATGTGTCCTGCTGCAATCTTTTGTTTTTCTTCAGGCCCAATGTATGATTTTGGTCTTCTCTCCAATAAGAACTATCACCCATCTATTCTAGATCGTTGTTTTACTTGTAAAGTAGTTTATCTCGTATTACTAAAATTCTTTTTTCTATTGCAAAATTGCAGTAAAATTGAAAAACACTTTTGAAAGCAAATACTGGGATATTCCGTGCTTAGAACTTTACCTACGAAGCAAAAATCTGTTGAGATCAGCTGTAGACATTGATCCTACGCTGCCATTATGTCTAACTGGAAAAAAAAAAAGTAACTGCAGTTATGGAAAATAGAAACATATATCGAAAATCTTTTTCTGATGCGAAATGAAAAAGTTTCTTCAGAAATATTCCCGAAGAACTGGAGGAGGAGGTGGGACCTGTCTGTCCTGGCTTAGCCAGTAATTTGGTGTTTGGAATTCTCAGGTGTCATGTGGGCAACCGGAACCAAGTCTTAATTTGCTCGGTTTGGTAAAGAGAGTGGAACCTGGGCTGATGGCAGGTGATGCTCTGACTGAGATGCTCTTGAGGGCTCTACCTCTTGGTTTTACCAGCCAGACCTTCCAGTTAGAAATTCAATTCTTTCTTGTCGCTGTTTTCTTCAAAATGTAGGAAAGGCTAATGGAACTGATAGGTCTATGTGTGTAAATATTTCTTTTGGAAATCTTGCAGGATTTTGTTCATCTATACTAGGGAAAAAGCAGAACTGGCTGCTACACTGAGCAGTAGCTGTAATTCTCTCTTTGTCCAGAACTTCATTAGTACTTTTAACCGTTTTTGTATATAACATGAGGGTGTGGAAGCCTGTAGAGTCTGTCAAAGCAGAACAGCTAATGTGGCAACTCTGCTACCTAGTGGAAAGTTCCTAATAGAAAAATCATCCAAGGTAATGCTTGAATGTTACATACTCAGTGCATTTGAAGCAGTCTTAGGTTTGGATAAATGTTTTTTGAGAAGCAATAAACCATTGTCATTTGTTTAAAAGAAAACCCAAGTGAGTGTAAAAGAACACATACAATATGTTAATTAAATAAAATTTTTTAATCCATTTAATGTGTTTTTAATTTGAGTCTTGTCCTCTTGTATTATAAATTATGGCAATGCTTATTTTTCTTTGCAGTTGTGTTGGAGAATCATGAAGTGACAGATGATGATGTAGAGCCCACTCTGAAACGTCAGCGTATAGAAATTAACTGCCAGGATCCCTCTATTAAGGTTATGATAATGTCTTTTTCTGTTTGTATTTGTAATGCCAATTAAGATATTTTTCTTAGGGAAAATTATTTAAAATAAAAAGAATGTAAAATAAACTGTTTATAGATACCACTGGAATAATTCATAGCCTCCTTGTACATATTTGTTAATTTTTGTGCACGTTTTAATGATTGGCTAATTTTCCGGTGTAAAATTAGCAGCAATAATTTTTCATGCAATATACAATATCATCAGAATTAATTCCAGTGACTCAGACATTTTTTGATAAAGTGAATAACGTTGACCTAAAAAATAAACTTGGACATATATTTCTGTTACAATTTTTAGATACTTTCAGCGTGGTTTAAATTACTGGTTGAAGCTAACGACGTTTGCCTAGAAGTTAAACCCTATTTTGCTCAGGCTTGCCTGTAATTGCAGAACATCTGCTGTTCTCACTGTTGTGTTTTTTCTTTCGTTTTGGAGCATAAGTATATGAGTAGTATTTTACAGCCACGCATATAAAATAGCATGTAATTCTGTATTTCTGAAACGGTCACAGAAGCTGCAGCAATGCGGTGAGAGCATGGCTGGAGCAGCGCTGTACAGCAGCTTGGCCAGGTGTGTAAATTGTAGCGCAGGGCCACAGGGTGGCAGGGTTGCTGTTCGCAAAGGAGAACGTGTGTAATATTAGCCTTTAATGGTCTGGTTTTCCCGAGAGAAACCGAAGAGGCTGTGCTTTCTTCTGAATAGAAAGGAAAACAGATTTTATTTATTTGCTTTTCTTGATTTGCTGTTCAGGAGGAAACTTAAGTGAGCGGCATTAATTGTCTCTGAGGTTATTTGTGTTGTTATAATTTCCACTGTAATCATCTGAATTTATCTGTTTGGGCAGGAAAAATTCTTACTTAACTTTATCCAGGAGGATGCGTTCATAGATTTATAATCCTTTTGTTTTTACATGTATCAAGCGAAAGGCTTTGGCGTGTCATTTTAAATGATTGTGTGGTGTATGAAATCATACTAACAAAGCACTTAGGTGGAAATGTGTTTGGCTCGGATGCTTTTGGCTTTCTAAATAAAGATCTGGAAGAATTTGATAATGCTGAAATGCTCCTGGATGTCATCAGTTTTGTACGTGGCTGACTTTTGTCACTAGGCACACTGCTAGATCCTTTAGGATCGTTTTCCAGTCCCGTCTGTCTGTGTGTGTCCCTTCTGTGTACGTTGCTGAAGATAAATTCGTTCAGTCTTTAAAATCAGTTTCTTTTGCATTCTCCCCTTTCTAGTCATTCCTGTATTCCATTAATCAGACAATATGCCTGCGGTTGGACAGCATCGAGGCGAAGTTGCTGGCACTAGAGGCTACCTGTAAATCACTGGAGGAGAAGTTGGATCTTGTCATGAACAAACAGCACAGCCCCATCCAAGTCCCCATGGTGGCAGGTTCTCCTCTTGGCGCTACGCAGACGTGCAATAAAGTACGATGGTAAGAACAGATTACTCATCAATGTGCTTTTTAAAATAACGTAAATCCACTTCTTTGGCATCAAGCTGTGCAGCTTTCTCTATAGCTGTCAAGAGCTTGGTATGCTGTTTACGAACGTAGAATTAATTTCTCTTGAAGGTAATTTTTGTACCAGTTTCATGATGTTACTTAGGATGGGACACAGGTCCATGGACAGTTTGCAACTGTTTCCACATTTCTTTTTGACTTAAACCAGACTGATTCATCCATCCCCTGGAAAAGTCTCATAAGCAATTTTAGACAGGTTTTTTTAGGCTTACTTTTTATGTGGCTGTTTTGAGTTAATAATAATGCAGACTTAACTCACAGTTGTTTGTTGAGCGTGGTTACTTCTGATAAATGTAGTTTAATCTTTTTAAAGGACAGCTTATTTGATGTCCTCAAATTTTTCTAAAACAGCTTTTCTTTTTTTGATGTCCAAATACGATGTTTGGACTCCAGTTCACAGTTCCTTTACTGGTCTTTGCTCTTGTGCTGGTGATGAACATCTTGACCATTGGACAGTCTCCTTTTCCCTTCTTCCATTTAATTTTTCTTTAAAATAGCTGCTGTGTCTGCATTTACTTGTACTTTTGAAGGCTTCCCAGTCATGCACCGAAAAGGTCGGTTATAACTAAGTTTATATCGAAAGGAATAAAGTCCTTGAGATAACTATTTGGATCATAGAGCCAGCAACTAGAACATTATGTCAGTGTTTTTGCTGACTGCTTATAATCAATAATTATTTCTCAAGAACATTCTTTAAATGTGTTCTTAATTTTCTTTGTCTCCATGTTAGAGATCTTGAAGTTCCTGTGCATAAGCTGAACTTTTTACTGTAGTTTGTGCACAAGAGACTTTACAAATGTTTTCAGAAATACGTGGCCCCTTCAGGATTCTATTCATCGATGCTGAGTGAATGCTTTCCCCTGTAAATTGTACTCTTTTGAGTTTCTTATTGGATCTGTCAGACCTGAGGTGGTGGGTGTTTTTTTTTTTTTCTCCAGAACCATTGGAAATCTGCGTGTTAACGGTGAGCTTGGTGTTTAATCTTCGTTTTGGGTGTACAAATTTATGATGACGGCTTCTCAGTCCTAACATAATTTAGACAGAAGTCTTGAAGACTTTTAAAATTCTCTCCCCCAGTATTTGTTAGTGTTGGTACGAAGTTGCACATTATCAAATGCATCTTGCCAGTAAAGCACTGAGGGCTTTTTGTTCTTTTAGCCATCTGTGGCCTATATGACTGAAAAGAAAATAGTTTTGGGGGGGTGTGTGTTTAACTTGGCGTCAGTAACAGTTCACTTTCACTGTGATAGAGCATTTCCCTGACTTCCCTGTCTCTCGTTCATAAAAGCCTTTGTCGGTTATTGATTATTTCCAATTAAAGCCTGCATGGACTGTTCTGTCGTATTGACTCTCTGTATCATTTCTTCTTCCCCTTAGCTTGCAGATGGCAGTGGAGAGCTGCCAGCAAGAGTCAATAGTTCCGGTAGGGATTTTTCAGGTTCTGCATCGGAAGGAGATTCTCCAACCTCCTTCTTCTGCCGGGTTTGCCATTCTCACGAGAATGCTGTAGTTGGCAAAAGCGTGTCGACCTGATGGTGCTGTGCTGCCAGTAAAGCAGACTCTCATTCTTTTCTTGATGAATACCTTCGAGTTTGTGATCTCCTCCACTCCGTAGTGAATTTTGTTTACAATTTTTCTCACAACTTAGTTGCTAGGATTGATTTGGTCCAGGTTTAACACAGTAAAAATTTGCCTTAGAGCAGTGTGCGCAGTAAAGCTTAGGAACCGCACGTTGTAAATGCACGCGGGTTGATTGCTTTGGGCTATTCGTGCTTTTAAAATTCAGTTAATCTCCCAAGACTTGTCAGTTTGAAATACGCTTAAGTCATCATTTGATGAAAACAAGGACCACCTGGACAGAGGTGCTTGATTCTGTCATCCTGCGGTATGCTGTAGCTACACAAATCCACCAGGTGACTTCCCAGCTGCCTTGACCGATGCCGAACGTGAGGCTGTGTGCAGCCCCGTGCACTGGCTGCTGCTAAGGTGGAGCAATAAAGTGGAATCTGTTCATATAACAGCGTTAAGGAGCCAGAGGTCTCACTTTATAATGGTTTTCAGATTTATGTTCAATGATAAATTACCTTTTCTAGAAAACTTAACACGTTGAGGTATTGCAATAACTCGTACCTCTTTGGTGCCAAACTGTTGTTTCCAAATTTAAAAAATTCTTATTAAGGGAATGAAGCAGAAGTTTACAAGGAGCCTTGCAATAAATCAAGAACTACCCCATGTTATTAGCTCCCAGGACAGAAGTGCGGTGTGTTTTAGTCTCGTTCAGCTTCTGTCTTTGCGTTAAACACACAAGGAATGGTACGTGTGGAAATGTTCCAGCATCCTTTTCTGGATATGTGAATTTTGAAGGCGTGATGACGTTTCTTGGAAAACTACAAAATGTTGAACTCAGAAATTGCAGCACTGTCTACTGCTCTGGATATTTTGTGTAAATACATCTTCATGAAAGCTGGATTATGTTCTCGGTTCTTTTACTCATATTGTTTACTCTGATCTGCTGTTATGGTACTTCATTATCCACTAGCTAATTGCAGTGCAGATAAGGAAGAAAACAAAGGGTCTGTGGTGCTGTGTGACGAATAATTTGTGTGAACAGTTGAGATACAGAGGAACAATAAGGTAACTTTTAGATCTTTAAGTAAGAAGTTTAAGCTACAGCAAAAAAAATAACAGGAGAAAACTGCTTTGGAAATATGAATAAATTTAGAAAATATTTTCTGGATGTTTAGTGGCTGCTGCTTACAAGTATGTAGTTGTCAGGATTGTCTACCAAGATGTGATTTTTACAACTCTTTCTTGGAGGAAAGGCTGTCAGAAGGTTTCAGAACTAGGAAAATGGATGGCAAAAATCCTTAGATTGCCCAGAGTTATTTTGAACTATATGGAGCTTGGGAGGGTCCAAGAACAGAAGCAAAATAATGTAATAAATTAATAATGAGAATACGTGTGTTGTCGCGCTGTTCTGAGCTTTGTCCAGCGTGGTGCAGCATTGGTACTACCCTGCTTTTCCGTCCTGCTTTTTCTCTTCCTCTGTCTGCAAATTTCCTGGCAGCATGGCTATTATAAACCTCTCATTTCTGTTCTTTACGAGGTACCACGCTGGTCAGAAATTCCAGTAGCTGCTGAAAGTTTCTTGGACAGGAGAACCGGTGCAATGCCTGACGGCCTGTCGGTATGGCAGCCTCAAATGATAAGTTTGAAATTTTAGCATGTGTCCAGGTCTTGAGATTTATAATTTGATGAACACAGATTGTGACGGTGCAACTAAAATCTTTTATCCATGTTTTGAAGAAAATCTTTCATCTGAAATATTCCAGTCCAGAAACAGTGTTATTTTTGTCAACGTCTTTCCATTAATCATTTTTCGGAGTGGGTAAGCCCAAGTACAAATGGTTAAGGTTGATTGCCTCAGATAACACAGGAATTTGTTTTGATTTGACAGAACCGTCCCGTGTTTGTTTTTATGGGTATTTTCTGCATTTCCTACACTGTACAATTCTGCTCTGCTATTTTGTAATTTTTTTTGTTGAGTAAGTAGCCGTAATTGAGAGCAGTTTTATATAGAGGATTTAAATTTAAAATTTGAATTTTCTTCATGCTTATTGATACGAGTGTTTCTGATGGAATCTGGACATTCATAACTAAATGCAGTTTTTCATTTGTTTGGATACTTTCCTGGAGCCTTTGTTCCAGTAAAGTTTCAATACAGACCACATACATCTTTACCACCTGCATTTGTGGCCGACTGATCAAGGATACTTGTCGCTAAGTATAGAGAGAGAATTGTATATATTTTTATCTGTCATGGGAACTGGAGATTTAAATGGAATTACTGAGTTCAACGCACTCAGTTACTGTGCCAAGACCTGATTTGGTACCCTTGAAGAAGACTTTAGTGAGCCGTTACCTGGCGGAGGGGCGTCAGGTAGTCTTGTCTGTGGTTACTTGTCGTGTCGATAGGTTCCATCGCTTGGTTTTAGAAAACAACATATCTCTTTTTTTTTTGTTTTGAGGTCCAAACCAAGTTGTGGTTTCTTTTTTTTTTTACATGCAGAAAAGGCAGCTTAATACAGTTGTGGACCAGATGGGATGGATGAACTTTGTTTATGTAGGTGTAGATCATTAATATGCTTGTTTTACCCTGAAGTTTAGTCAACAGGGTGTAATAGATTTTGAAGCCCAAGATTAGTGCGGTGTGCCAGTTGGCAAGGCTTTTGGCTCCACGTTCCCCAAGTTCCAGATCTGTGTTTCTGATGTGTGATTGTTGGTTTGTTTACAAGTGGTTTTGTAGTCAAATAATACAAAATTGAAAACGGAGATGATTTTAAATGAGGTTGTAACGTGTAGGGGAGGAAGAATTGAAGGATGACTGTTCTTCTAGATTTAGCAGAACTCGTTGCTCCTGCATAAAGCCTTTAGGGGGGGGAAAAACCAAACAAACCTAAAGAAATATAATCAAGGTACTGGTATAAAAACCCCAAAAGCTAGAATTCTGTTTTATATGCGTTTTTTTTCCTGTGACTTACAACCCCCTTGACCAACCTAATTTCATATTACCAAGTATTGAAAAGCTTTTTGATTTTTGTTGCATTTTTATTATAAAGATTTTTTTTTAATAGATTATAATAAGCTATTCTCCTATGCCAATTCATACTTTTAAAAAGTACAGTAATTCTTCAGTTCTTAGTGCTAAATAGTGGCTGTCGAGTCTCCAGTGTATATAGTTCTCCTCTTTCCCACATTTGCTGCAGCTGACACTGTAACTCGTGAGGTGATGTAAACCATTATCCAGGTTTAATATGTGGCTATTTTTTCTGTCTTTTTTTTAATTCAGTGATAAGTTTACATTATAAATCTTTTGAATGGTAAAAATCTGCACTGCAAAGCAAGTGATAAAG